AACAAATTTTTGGGTGTGCAGGTGTCCAGGTGATTGCTCCAGGGGTGTGAACACTGAGAAAGGTTGGGAACCACTGCTTTAATATATGTTTTATATCATGATGGTATTTAAATTAGTTAACCAATTTGATAATTGATGCACAATAATTGCAATGATTTGCAAGTTAAAATTAGTCAAGGCTGTAACTTCCTTCACATGACATTGTTACAATTACCAATAGCTGACACCAATCACCACTTATCTTATGTTTGTGGCAAGGTTGAGTCAACTCACTCAGACCACTCGTGCAATCAGCTGATATCTGATTAACCTCAGTGAAAACATAATATCGATTGTGATTATGCAGATAAAGTTGTTTCGTATCAGCGTATATGTATATTCATTTTATCAATTGTATATCGCTTATCTATTACGTTTTAATTGCTTTGATTGCACTTGATATCTAACCTATTTGCAACTGAAGTAGAAAAGGGCCACAGTGACAGATTAAGCTGAAAACCGGTCATTTAAAGCGCTAAAATGCACTTGGTAGTTCTCGAAGTTTAATGAAGCAAGAAAGCGACAAACTGAGAGATCGGTGTTCGATTTAATGTTGGTTCGGAGGGGCAAGTAATATATCCGGAGGGGCAATGGTAATTGGAATTGGTGGGTTGTAAGATTTTTGTTACCCCCCATAATCCCTCTTGCCACCCTGAAGCTACAGGACTGATCGGTGTTCATTGGAGCAGACAACTCTTATTTACAATAATTTCTGTCTACCGGCAGAAATATGGGGGGACATTAGATTCCTGATTATCTACAACCAGATGAAACACTGTCAGACTTTTAATCACAAAGAAAACATTAATGACCTTGACTTTAAATACTAACAAAATATTAAAGTTGCTATCAAATTAGAAGGCATTAAGTGAAGAGGTTGGAAAGACGAGATAAAGAGTCAAGGATAATGGCTTACTGTTTATAGAAAACAGGTGATTGCAGAAAGTCAAAAGTTCAGATTGGAGGTATATTTTATCTGATATTTTATCAGATATTTTAAGAGGTAACAGCATTCATATATCTCTCAGCTGATTTCAACACAAATTAAACATCACTTCAAACATCAGAGAAGTTAGTCTCCACCAAGCAACATCCATGCATGTGACAGTACCAAAGCAATGGTATAATCGCAATTTTCGCGATTGCTTACTCAATGATCTTAACGAACAGAACCTTCTTTACTTAAACTGAGTTTGAAATTTCTCTTTAAATACAAGAATCATGACGTTAACCGTTCCCTTATGATAGTCATTTAACAAACCATTTATGACAAACCAAGTGGCAAACCATGTAAAGAAGTTACATGGCCTGGCACCGTCGTTATTTTTTCTCATCAGATGATATAAGAAACTTGGCAATGCCGTGTAGAATTATGTTTTCACATCAGCTGATTAAGGATGTTATTTTCTGGGTCACTTTTTCCATGTTCGTAGTTTCACCGACTTTTTCTGACAGCAATATAGAATTGTGTCAAGGTCGGCTCTGTTTATATACATGACATACTTTAGATTACTTATATTATTTCAAACGCATATTTAGGAATAAATGATAGCATGGAGTATTGTATTTACGTTAGGCTTAAAGTAGCTCAATATTGAAATCCCGAGCAGAACATAGAGGCAAGAGTAAGAACTTTTATGTGTATCGGGACACTGATATCATCGACTTGCACCAGTGCAATTTCCAGTAAGACGTCTGTTGCTCTTCCAATTCCATTAAAAGCGAGCGTTTTTTGACGTTACTGTTGCAAAAGCTGGTATTAATACATAAGGACCTTTGATATAGTGACGTCATAAAACACATAGTTTTAGTAGAATTACAAGAACAACAGACGTCTGATGAAAATTAGAATGGTGCAAATCGAGATTATTAGTGTCCCTTACACACATAATTATTTTAGAAAACCCGTTTACAATCCCTTTAATCTGATGTCTTCACATATTGTAACGCGTTTTGGTAATCTTCAGCCACTGTACTATTTCTCTATTCTTATGGAAGTATGATATATTTATGGTTTATCTACCACTTGTTAAAAATGAAGAGACCGGAATAGTGACCTAATTATAATATCTGGCACTTGACATCGTTATTTATAGGGACACTTGAGTGCATAATTCGTATTCGTACATACAATGTTGCAAAGTAATGTGCCAAATAATCATATTTAGCTATGTGACATGTGACCTCTCCGAATAGGGTGCAGAGTTAACAATCTTCATCGCACACACCAGGCATGAGTTCCTCGTTTCAGTAGCCACAGTTCTTCTTGTATAAAGCTAAAAGGAGCTAGAATGCATTGACTGCCAATAAGTCCTATATTATGCTTGAGTTAACCATTGAGTAAGGTGTCTTCATAAAAATTTTAATCTATCAATCCACTCTCTAAAATGGTTTGGGCGAACTAATATTTCAACGTATGAAGTTTCTGAAACAAAGTTTCGATATTACAACATGACAATCGTCATAGATACAGAAATCACAAAGTTTGTCTTACCTATACACTTTCTAGCACAAGATTTATCGTTAGTATCTTCATAATAATTCACTGGACCTGAAAAGAAGGAAGCAAATATGTAGATGTTGAAAGATCTTAAAAATATGCTCTACGGGACAGAATTACATTAAAGACCCCTCTCTCGGTTCTGACACTAGGGTTTATTGACATAATTCTGTCTGGTGACCATATCTCATATATAGGACCAGAAAATGGTCCATCAGATATAAGGATTTTGGTTGAAACAAAACAAATCAATTTTGACTCTTCTAGAAATACGCAATACCACAGAACTGTAGACAACTGTGTTAGACAGAGTAATAAGTTATGTTTTTATATTCATAGGTAAATCTGAATCACATTTCAGTCTCCTGGTTCGGATATATCATCTTACAATAAAAACAGTTGTACCACAATACACAGTTTTAGTATAATTCTAAAACTTCCGTAACATCAGATCAGAGATTTCACAAACATTTTATTATATTATTCGTACAGGTTGATTATAGATAATCACAAAAGACCCAAAGTCAGATACTTCATTTAAAAGGTGACACAAGTAGCAGTTTCTTTTAGTATTTTCTTCAAAATATCCATGCTTCATGTATCAGTACAATTGAAGATGCATGGAGCAATTACAATTATTTTTTCAAAGGTTAATTGTTCATTCTATTTGACCTAAGTTCTAGTTTTCCAGTCTGTACCATTGTAATAGTGAAATATTGTCAGAATATGAAATAGTTCTACTGGATGACCTTTGTTTGGTAGTAGATGGTAAATGTCATGCTTTCTGTATATTATATAGATGTTATAGATATAAGTATAAATATGATTTAGTATGTTTTATTATAAACACATTTTACTTTCTTTCAACTAGCCACAAAGTACATGTAATTCTCCATCTTAAGTTTTATTCACAGTTCTCATTCAAAGAAAAAATGGAACTTGATAATTTCGGTTCTCCAATTGTCAATTCTTCATGACCAAAGTGCTAAACATTGGTTAGTGATATAATTTAGAAATATGCAAAGCAATGAATGGAAACGTCTTCAAGCGAATAAAACAGTGAACTTTGGCGTAAAGGAGTTGAAAATGTCAATTGAAAAGTGGCATCAGGTCCTATCAAGGTTCCAAGTTCGGTAAATATAAATGTGAACAGATTTGGAATAAAATGTTATTTAATACCATCAACTCGGATTTGGAGTATAAATGTTTTAGTACGAATGTTTTAGTATTGTAAATTGACATGAAAATGACCCGGCCTATTTCAACACATTGCCAACATATGCATCCGCAGTTCAAACTTCACTTTGGTTTATTTCTCTTTGTACCAAGACAGACCAATAAACTTTACTATTTCATTGTAATATACATTTATTCAGGACAAAACGAAAATTCACAGGGAGACCATTTTTCTGGATTTCAGCAATATTAGCAAATGTTTATGAACTTAATTTTTATATCCTACCGTTAATTGCCTTTTTTATATACAATGTGGTACGCGATGTGTAGTGAGGAACATTTCAAAGAGTTAAGCGTCTACTTCTTTTGGCTTTCCGCTCAAATCCTGAACATGCAATCCTGAACAAGCACGCGCATTTGTCCACCTGTGTTTGAAATTCTTTGTTACTGTCTTGATTAAAGCTTGGGTATCTGAATTCAGTAAGAAATTAGAGTGGAATGGAAGTCTTAAGGACTTTCCCAAATATTGAAACTTGAAACGCTCAGCTTGTAGTAGATGCTACTGTGCTATCGACAACTCTCAAAGTTTGGAGTGATATAATTTTGCATGTATGATTGAATTCTCCAGAGTAGATTTTATCAAAACATAATATCATTATTCATCACATGTTTCCTTCCACAGTCCTCTGAACAGAACCATCAAAAATCCACGAGAAAGATGGTTAACTTTAGTTTATTTTACCCGAAATCGCTCTTTTTTACCGTATTTTTTAGAATAAATTTTATGTCTTAGCATTAACATCAATATTAACGAGAGTAACATTAACTTTTAAATAAAGGTTTATCGCTACTTAAAAAGATAAGATCTACACCACTTTTAAATTAAAAATGCATATCAAATATACCAGTAATGAAATTTAAAACTATATTAAAAATAAACATTAAAAACAAATCCGGAATATCATAAAATAAGCTTACCAGCTAAAGTGCCAGCCAATAGCCCCAGAAGTATCAAACCTCTGGGCTCCATTTTAAAACATTGATAACAATTATTAAACTGACGAGCTAACTTCCTTTCTTACTTTATATACTTGACAATTAACAATACTCGATTTATCAGTTCAAAAGTCAATCTGCG